CTAGGGCAGCGATTCTCCATCTGTGGGTTGCAACCCCTTTGGGGGTCGAATGACCCTTTCACAGTGTCGCCTAAGACCAATGGAAAACACATATATAATTAAATATTGTTTTTGTGATTAATCACTCTGCTTTAATTATGTTCAATTTGTAACAATGGAATTGGGGGTCACCACGACATGAGGAACTGTACTAAAGGGTCCCGGCATTAGGAAGGTTGAGAACCACTGCTCTAGGGAGACCCTCTCTTATCTGAAGAAACAGCTCCCTCAGGCTATCAGGAGACCCGGTGGATGGGCCTGTGGGCATTATTTGGATTTAGACATGTCCCAAACTGTATAGCAGTCTTCCAAAGTGGCTGTACCAATTTTGTGTTTCCACCAGCAATGAATGAGAGTTCAATTTACTGTGTGTTTTAAAAAAAAATATATATATATATATTGATCTCAGAGAGGAAGGGAAAGGGAGAGAGAGACAGAAACATCAATGATGAGAAAGAATCTGATCGGCCATCTCCCGCATGCCCCTCATTGGGATCAAGCCCGCAACCCAGGCATGTGTCCCTACTGGGAATTGAACTGTGACCTCCTGGTTCATAGGTTGACGCTCAACCACTGAGTCACGCTGGCCGGGCTCAACTTAGTTTTTTATATCTAAATTTTTATATCTAAAAACCTGTACCTACCCTATAGACTGTTGTGAGAATGAAGTGAGTGAATACATCACATGCTTAACCATACCTGGCAGAGAGTAAGCGCGAAGCTACTGCCATCATTATCACCATCTCAGCCCAGCCAGCAGGACTCTGAGAGGGAGAGAGCTCCAAACTCCTGAGGCCCCAACATGGAAACCGAACTAAGAGGACCATCGTACTCCCCACTTCTCCAGACTGATCCTGGGGCAGCCCAGCCCTCCTCCTCACATATAGGTCCTCTTCAGCCGTGGTTCCAATGGAACGTTATTTCCAAGAGATGTTAATGGACTTTCTTTGTAAAAGGACTCTGTGGTCACAGATTTTTGGGAAAGCTAAATTAGTTTCTTT